TACTATACATTGGATTTCTTGATAATTTTTTATATAAAATGTATTGTTGGTAATTCTATGAATAATTATTGTTAGTAATTTTACCATAAATATGTATTGTTGGCAATTCTACTATGAACAGGTATTGTTAGTATTTCTACTATAAGTAGGTATTATTAGTAATTTTACTATACATTGGTATTCTTGATACATTTTTATTGCCGGTATTTTTGCTATAAAAATGTTATTTTTATACTTTCATAGGGTTTTGATTTGGTCTGGGGGTTCACAATTTGCCCATAGCTAGGACCCTAACAGGTGCTACAACCCTAGATAGATCTAGGAACAACAGCGATTAAAGAATGGCTCCATACTCTTAATCTCCCGATCAGAAGCCTTACTGTTGGCTATAGTTCATCGTCTACTATGAAGTAGACTTCTTAAAGAAAATACAATTCACTAATCTAGTAAACTAAGAAAGAGGACATTTTCATTAGAAACAAAAAAAGTGCTAAACTGTTATATAATATTAATCTCCCAGAACAAATGAAAAGGAGACTTGATCGAACAGAGATGCTGTTCTACAGAAGGATACTGAGAATTCCATGGAGAATATCATCTGAGTAATGAGAAAGTTTTAATGAAATTGGAAACAAATATGACACTTATACTTAAGATTGGGGAGACAGCAGAAATTTCTTGGATACATGAGGAAAGAAGTCTTGGAAAATTTGACACTAACAGGGCGTAGTGGATGCAAATGAGACACAGGCGGACAGCAGGATGAGCTTGTCTGATGAGCTTGTCTGAATGGATGGCAGAATGACGAGTAGCGAAAAGACAAACATTACTAAACATCTACAAAAGGTAGGAAGTTGTTGAGAGACATAATCACCTATCCGATGACGGGTTCACAGCAGATAATAGAAGTGTATTCTAATCAACAGCAATGCGACACGAGCTATCTGACCGTTGTGACATGGCAGGTGACTTCATAAATTGTTGTCTAAATTACGCAAAAATGAAAATGTCACAGGCATCTCATTTTAAAAGATATGTTTACCAAAATTATACAAAAATATCTTGAAGTACTAAAAACTAAATTCATTCAATAAAATTGCCTTTGGCTTCAACCACGAACTCCAGATGACTTCAGAATCTCCTGCATCTTTACTGGGTGGTCTCCTTGTTTAAGTTGGTGAACCATATATATATATATATATATATATATATATATATATATATATATATATATACACAAACACACAAGGTGCGATGGATAAATTTTCATCTAAATTATGCAAAAATGAAAATAACACTAACATCTCATTTTAACAGATATATTTACCAAAATTGCACAAAAATATCTTGAAAAACTAAAGTGTAAAAACATTCAAAAAATTGCCAGTGGCTGCAACCACGGCCTACAGACGACTTCGGAATCTCCTGCAATTCTTAACCAGAGAGCCTCCCTGTTTAATTTGGTGAATGCTAACATAAGCTTTGCTGTCAGTTCATCTTTTGTGGTACAAGGAGTTTTGTTGGTCTCTCGCTCAGCTGCGCTCCACGCCTAATAAACAAGGGAGGGTGCAGTCTGGGAAGATAGGTGGCCAGATGTACGGGGTGATCTGGTGGCAGAATTTGTCTAACAGTTATGACTGGGTTCTGATTTTGTGGCATGATGCAGAGTCCTGTTGCCAGATATAGGGTCTACCAGCAGACAGCCTCTTGAGCCAGGAGAGCACTACTTCATCAAGGCACTTGATGTAGTCCTCGGTGTTGATTCTGAGGTCCTCAACAACAAATTTGTAGATTCTTTCTTAGAATATTGAGAGTGGGTTTTCTGAGCTGCCGTATCTTCGTAATCACCATTAGACGCGTCCAAGTATTTTCGAATCCTCTTCACTGTCCTCAGATTGACACAAAAACACTCTGAAATATTTGTATTGGCGCCTCCGGTCCGAATGTGAGGCAGTACAACATGCTAATTCGAAATTTCTGCTACACTCAATTGCACCATGATACTCTTTTTCTCACGCACAATGCCCAATCGAACCTACTCTACTGTGCAGTCGACAAAATTCAAAACAAACAACGCGCATGCGCAAAATTAAAAATATAAAATGACGACAATTTACTCATCGCACCCTATATGTATATATATATATATATATATATATATATATATATTACCTGTAGAACAACATTTCCGACTAGAAAAACACGGTTTTAAAACCCATGACGAATTTACTATAATTGAGAGAATAGAAAAGTTCAGAGCAGATAACATAAGAAATATTTTAGAGTTCCATGAAAATAAGTGGATACAACGTTTAAAAACGCACTATCCAGACGGGCTTAATCACACATTGAACAACATAGGTAGTATTTGTTTAGAACCCCACAAATCAGGACCTACCCACATTTCTCACCCACACAAGACAGACATGCTTACCGAGGTGTTGAGGTCTGACACACACCCACACTCCCTAATGAACTAAATGATAACACACACCCATCGTAATATACACGCTTACACACATCATACTCACTCACTCCCTAAGAACCAAATAACACACTCACACTTAACAGAGAGACATATCCTTTCCAGGAACCAATAAAACTGTCAAAATGACCAAGGGAATTCAGAGCAGCATGAATCCATCCAGCTCTTATCTTAAATAACAACTTAAAAGACTGTTTGACCAACACAAGGACTGAACAAAATTCATGTTAAAAAAATAAAACCAAACAAATGAAAACTAGAGACAAAAGTTCATTTTCTCCATCAAAACATTCATTTCTGTAGTTCACTGCTCCCAGCAAGTAGAAATATTTCTTCTCCTGATGATGGCCATGTTGGCCGAAATTAGTCGACGAATGTAATTGAAATAATAATAAAAACGAAAGAATATTAATATACAACCCAGTGTGTCTGAAGATTTTAATTTTTAATTTTTTTTAATTGTTAAATATATATATATATATATATATATATATATATATATATATATATATATATATATATATATTTTAATGTATGTTATATTTATAGATTAAAGTGCTCAATATCAGGGACAGAGCGTATGTAAATATAAAAATGGAGATTGATGTCAACACCCAGATGCGACAGTCAGGCGATTGCTTTTTGCATGAAACATATTCTTGTCTCTGGGTTTTTACTTAAATGCCCAACTTTTTCCTAATTTACGCTAAAGAAAAACCCCAATGATTCGGCCAGAAAACATATACGCCAGTATGTTGGATATTTATTAAATGTACTTTGAAATATATTGAATGCAGAATTTTCATGATATTATACGTTTATGACAGCATGTCAAATGCATCAACCTGCCCCAAGACATTCATGCACTCTGGGGGCGGCATGTGGATTCAGGACTAAAATAATTGATGTAAATAATTCACAACGCGAATATTTTTATTATAGCCATGAGAATATATGCATCAATATAAATAATAAAAAAAATACCCAGGTACGTATACCAGCGAATAAATATATATAACTAGAAGCCATACCCAGGTGGTCGATCAGAAAAAGCGTTCAATTAGAATGGAACAAAAACAGCATCATGTTTAGATGTAACAGAGTCAATCTTTAATTACTCCAAAATACTTTCATTAAGAAACATTTTGAATTAATGCAGTTACTGATATAAGAGAAGTAGTTTGTATTTATTTAATCGAAGTTAGCTGACGATACGAAGGGGTAAAACAGGTAACATGAAGGCCCACTTTAGAGCATAATTTTTTCTTTTTTAATTTTTGAAATTCAGTTTGTCAGTTTACTACCAGGAATGTAAAAGAGAATACATATATAAAGCAATTTTAAGTTTGATGAAAATTGGTTAAAATATCAACGAAAAATAAGAAAGAAACTTAGTAAAAATCGCCATTTTTCTCTATTTTTGTGGATGTTCACTATATGGGTGGACTGAATTATCAACTTAAATGAATATTAAACAATCAACTTATTGTTGACTACAATTGAGTGAAGTTTGTATTAGATTGCTTGAAAATTGAGGGAGTTTTTACTTTGAAATTTGTGTTGAAATCGATTTGTTGAAATCGATTTTTCGTTTATCACGGTTTTTCGCTAAACGCAGTGGCGTAGAAAAAATGAGGTATCATTGAGCTCGTCATGATGTAAGTACTTTACGTAGCGAGTTTGGAAGAAATCGAAGGAAAAAAGTTGAACCAATCGATTTTTGATCGGCTTTATCGATTATTGATTTTTTTTAAATATAGATTTTTTACGCTAAGAACCTATCTCTTACATTGTACAATGCTTGTAACAAGTTTTGTCAAAATCAGTTGGATGGATCTCGAATGAAAAGGTATCACACAGACAGACTGACATCTTCTGTTTTATATACAGAGATAATAGCTAAGTAGAAACTACTCATTCGGATTTTTTGCACCACTGACAAATAAAAATAATGCATGATAGTCTCCAGAAGGCGAAAATTTTATCACCTCCTCCCCACACCGAGTTTCTATACGCTCCACAAGAATAAATGCAGTAACATTCATTTCTTCTTTTTTGTTTATGTGTCGTGTCCCTTCAGGTTGTAGGTAATCATGACCCTTCACATGTTCCCGTCTCTTATAAATCTTAATAAGATTGATCTTTTTAGTTTTTCTAAACCCTGTTCGTCATCCATTTATTCAAGCCCATCAAGGATGTTACACTCTGCTTTGCTCTGTCAATCTTTCCCCTCAATCTGTCCTGTGAGTATCAGATTTTCCAAGCCATCCTTCCTCATTACGAAACCCAGAAGCCTCAAATGCCTCTTCCTGATGTTAAGTATAAGTTTACTTTTTGTTACAATTCCTTCTAAAAACTCATTGTTGCTTACATGTTCGGTCCAGGGTATCCTCAGCATCTTTCTGTAGAATCACATTCCTTTTGCTTAAAGTCTATTCTTCAACTTTGAGGCGATTGGCTTTCGCAGGAGGACAGATATGGATTTAATTTCTTTGATCCTTTCTTTCCTTTACAGACAGGAGGTTTCTTCTTCTTCCACCTCCTCCTCCTCTTCCCCCTCCTTCTTTTCTTCTTATTTTTCTCTCTCTTCCTCTTCTAGTTATTTCTCTTCTTTTTCTTATTTCTCTCTCTCTTCCTCTTCTTGTTATTCCTCTTCTTCTTCTTTCTCTCTCTCTTTTCCTCTTCTTTTTATTTCTCTTCTTCTTCTTCTTATTTCTCTCTCTCTTACTCTTTTTGTTATTCCTCCTCCTCCTCTTCTTCTTATTTCTCTCTCTTCTTCTTCTTCTTCTTCTTCTTATTTCTCTCTCTTCCTCTTCTTGTTATTCCTCCTCCTCCTCTTCTTCTTATTCTCTCTTTTCCTCTTCTTCTTCTTCTTATTTCTCTCTTTTCCTCTTCTTCTTCTTTTTCTTCTTCTCTTTTCCATTCTTTTGCGTAGCCAAATTGATATTTTCTTGTCAATGCTCGTTTTCTTGGTTGTCAGTGTGAATTTTGCTTTTCCTCGTTCTTGTAGCAACCTACCCGACCACAGAAGTAAATTTTCAAAGGTTTTCTGCCAGAACCACATTGTTCTCAGAACTTTGGCAAGTTGATTCATTTAAAGAAAAATGATAGCAGTTTATCATATTACAAGCGCAGAGACATTTTTGCAAATGAATTTGACTTTGAAAAAAATTAGAACATTTTTTTTTCTTGTTTTTCCCAAATTTCGTTCAAACTTTCTCGCTTCGCAGATTTTCAACTTGCAAAAAGGACGAAGCAGGATGTCTTAAATACGCATGCCATTTAAAAACGAATAGACGCTACCGATTCTGAAATATGCGTTGAGTATCAACCTATCCCAGACACAGCAATGTATTTCGCCTTAGTATATATATATATATATATATATATATATATATATATATATGTAGTTTGCTTTCATTTGTTTTATGACGGCATATTAACATCAATGGGTTATTTTATGTCGACAAAATTTTTACTTTTATTTTTACGCTTTCATAGTGTTTTTTTGTCTATTTGCCCCCAAACCCCTGATCAGAGGCCTTTCAGAGGCCTTGCTGTTGGACGTAGTTTATCATCTTACCCAGGACGCGGATGTAGTTTATCGTCTTACTCAGGACGGCGTATATATATATATATATATATATATATATATATATATATATATATATGTTTCATTAAATAATATAGACAAGTGTTGTCTATTTATTTTATGTCACAATATTGATAAATATTTTTTAATCCAATCTAAGCTTTCGGCTTACAAAAAGCCATTATCAAAATTAATAATTACTGTACAATATATTATGCAATATACAGACAAGAATGTGATGATAGTTTGTTTCTGTTTACATGGATGATTTCCAAGCAACGATAAAAACAAGAATATAAGACACTGGAAGCGAAAATTGCACCGCAACTCATGACGTCACCCATGACTACGCGGGAGTGAATTCGTGAAGTATCAAGTATGGGAAGCCGTTGGTATAAACCAATGGCTTCTGTTACCAATTATAGACATTTAAGGATATTTGTGGGGATTTCATAGTTTATTTTGTTCAATTTAGATTTCAAATGTTTTATGTATATAGCTTCAAGAATTTTTAGTTTTTGTCTATTGTTTCATGTTGAAGTATAATTGTATTTTCAACAAGGATTTTCCGGAATTGTGTGTGCGGCCAGGTATGTTGTTTTAAATGCCTAAAAATGTTAGAGTTTTCATTCAAATGTAGTGTCAAGCGTCGTGAAAGCGAGTTTGTGGTGTGACCAACATAAATATTATTGAATCCATTGGAGATACAATCTCCCAAAGGGCACTTGAATTGGTAAACTGTTTTTTTTTTGTAAATCGCTAACCGGGGGAGAAGAATCATTACGAAGAATTAAGTTGGATATACTAGATTTAGTGTAGTATATGATTAACTTAATTTTTTTTTTTTGCTAGGATCTGTTGTTGATATATTAGTATTTACTAATTTTTTTAGTATATTTTCATCTTGTTTATAATTAGTATGCATTTGATTACGATATAGGAGATTAGTAGAAGCAGTATTATGTACTATTTGCTTAGTATTGAGATTTCTAAGGAAGCATCATATTTGTTCACCAACTATATAGCTTGGAAAGCTATTATTAATAAGTGTTTGTTTTATATTCTTTAGTTCACTGTAAAAAATCTGTTTGGTGGATGAATTAGTTTCTGCACGATGTATTAGATTCTTTATAATTGCTATTTTGTAGTAATATGGGCATTCACTCTTGTAGTTAAGTGTATATGAATTTATGCGTGTAGGTTTTTTGTATGGCGAAATAGTAAATTTGTTATTATTTGTGTTTATCAATATGTCAAGGAAGGGGATTTTATTATTAGTATTGAGTTCATATGTGAATTTAAGGACAGAATTATTTTGGAAAGGTTTTTGAAGTTGAATTATTTCATCTGTATTTTTAACTAACATAAGAATATCATCAACGTATCTTAGGTAGATGGGTGTTTTTTAAAAATCTGTAAATATCTTATTTTCGAGGTTCGACACGTAGAAATTGCTAAATGTCGGACCCAGTACTGAACCCATGGAGACACCATCACGTTGTATATACATTATTATTATGATCGAAGAAAAGGACTTCAGTAGTACAAGCTAATAGTAGTTTCCGTAATATATTCGGGTTAATTTTATGTGGGGGTAAAGATAAGTTACTGTATATATTTCTTATAATTATATCAATAGTTTCACTAACAGGGACATTGGTAAATAAGTTTTTAACATCAAGTGAAGCTATATATATAGGGTGCGATGGGTAAATTTTCTATATTTTATTTCACGCATGCGCGTTGTTTATTTTTGATTTTATCGATTGTAAAGTAGGGTCAGTTGGGCACCGTCTGTGAGAAAAACAGTATCATGATGCAATTCACTCCGTCAGAAATTTGGAAATAGCATGCTGTACTGCTTGGAATTTGCACCGGAAGCTCCAATACGAATCTGAAGGGAATGCAGAGGATTCGGAAAGAGTTGGATGAGTCTAATGGTGATTACGAACGTACGGCAGGTTGTAAAACTCACTTTGATCGTTCTGATTGGAAAATTACTTTATAAAATTTGTTGGTGAGGATTTCACACTTAACATCAATTGTCTTGAGGATGCAGACTGTCCTGTGCCAAGAGGGTGACTGCTGGAAGGCCCTCTGTCTGGCAACAGGGCTCTTCATTACGCCAATCAAGCAGGAGAACCCAGTCATGGCTCTCGAAAAGTTTCTACGACCACATCACGCCTTACATCTTGCCACCTATCCGCCTAAACTGACCCCCCTTTGACTATTATGCGTAGGGCGTACTTAATCGACAGACCAACAGAACTCCTCGTAACATTGTAAAACCAAAGATGAACTGAAGGCAAGGATTATGACAGCATTTACCAACTTAAACACGGAGATCGTCCTGAAGAATTGCAGGAGATTCCGAAGTTGTCCGGAGGCCGTGGTTGAAGCCACTGGCAATTTTATTGAATAAATTTACTGTTTAGTATTTCAAGATATTTTTGTGTAATTTTGGGTAAATATATCTGTTAAAATGAGATGTCAATGTTATTTTCAGTCTTGCGTCATTTAGACGACAATTTATCCATCGCACACTGTATATATTAAATATATAATTTTCTTGATTATATATCATGATCGTTGCAATTTGTTTACTTACTTGAGTTAATCAGTATACATGGGACATGATGCGTTGAAATGTTAATTCTAAAATCAAATTGCAACGAGGAGAAATGATTTAACACAAATTCCAATCGTTGAATTACAAAATCCACGCGAAAATCCCTTTAGAGAACCGATTACTTTTACCGTGCACGTTTTACAAACGAGACCCCCAAATAATTGCAAAGGCTCAGCGGACGCAGATTTGGAGGACGGTGGGGGCAACGGAGGGAGGCACTGTTCTTATGCAGGAGTAAAGCGGGTTGAACAAGGCAATTTTCGAAAACCATCTAGATTATCGGTTGCACAAATTACTGAAAGAAAGCTGGACTTCGAAGGAAATAATTTGGTCAGAGGACGCCATGTTGAAACGATAACGAGGCAGGAATTCAGATTAAGGGCGGTTCAACAGAGAATGGCGCTTAAATACACCCGTCGGGAGAAGATGAGTCGGTCTTTCAAAGGAACCGTCTACTTTTATTTGACTGTCATATTTGTAGAAGAAGTAAAAACGTCTCGCATACATATGTGTACAAATATTCATACGAATTATTTCTATTCCTTTCACACAGAAATATACACATTGACATATATATATATATAAATATATATATTAAAGACATTTTTATGTTTAACGTTCTTTTTTATAGATACAGGTAGTTAAGTAAATGCTCTGTTTATAATAAACAGTATAAAATAACATTTACCGGCCTGTAAATGTTATTTAATACTGTTTATTATAAACAGAGCATTTACTTAACTACCTGTATCTATAAAAAAGAACGTTAAACATAAAAATGTCTTTAATATATATATGTATATATATTTCGATGTGGTGTAATGTATTCTCGTTAGATCAATTATGATTGAGTAGTGAGTTCGATTTTCCCGAGGTACTCCGGTACTCCATACATTTAGCCTTGTGCCAGATCTAAGCTATGCTTACTAAATCGCTACATGCATACATACACACACACACGCGCGCGCACACACACACACACACACTCACATATATATATATATACAAATGTAAAAGAACGAAAAGAATAAAATTCAAACGTTCATAATATTAACTTAAAAAGGCTCAATACAAGAATAGAGCAATAAATATTTATTATAAACTGTTACATTAGAACATGAAAGTTACTACTATAAAATTGCATCATTTATTACCATTATTATTAACTACGTGATGAGATGTTAAACGTCTAAACAAAATATGCAATTTTGTAGTAGTAACTTGCATGTTATAAAACAACAATTTATAATATATATATATATATATATATATATATATATATATATATATATATTATAAATTAACTGATTTAAAAAGATGTTTTTAGCTACACAGTAATAACCCTGTTTCAAAATCGAAGCTTAAAATTTCAAATTTAATTTTGTAATTAAATTAAAAAAATTAGTTCTGTTTCATCTTCAAACGAATTTTGGTTGCAATATTCGCTTGAAGATGAAATGGAACTAATTTTGTTTTTAATTTAATTACAAAATTAAATTTGAAATTTTAGCTTCCATTTTTGAAACAGGGTTATTACTGTGTAGCTAAAAAACATCTTTTAAATCAGTTAATTTATAATATTTAGGCTCTGTAAATTTACATTGAGCACTGTTTTGTAAAAATAAAAAATAACAAGAACCCCGGATTATATATCTTACTGTTCTTTCTTTTTATTCATATATATATATATATGGTGTGTGTGTTTGTGTGTGTGTGTGTGTGTGTGTGTGTGTGTACATATATGGGTGCTTCGACATGGTGTAATATTTGGCAACCTTGTCTCGGGAGATCATTTAATATTTCCTAGTGTGTATGATCCGCACCTTGTGTCATACCTAAGCTCCGCTAAGACCTTTTTCACAAGCCAA